AGAACCCGGCGTGCTCCGTCCCGGCTTTGTAGGGATGCGAGGTCAATGGTCTAACGACTACGCATGCACGACTATGAGTACACGACATCATTGCCCAATTCGTTAGAGATATGCCATGCTGGCGGTTCACGAAGCCTAGAACCGCCACGAACAACCTAGTATTCTGTATGTGATCAGCATCACCGCCCCTTCGATTGAACGCCACGCCGTACCTCATGAATTATCTCTCCATTCTACTGCGGGCGCCAGTTGCTTCCGCCAGACTCCATAGCGGCGGGGCTAAAATCGGCCTCGGAAGAGAAGAGCGTCTTCATTTGGCTGGCAGGCGGGATGGTGGGGGTCATGGCGCTGCTTACGTTGATGGCCCCCTTTTTCAGCAGTCTCCAGATGATGTCAGTGATAAACTAAATAATGCACATGCTGCATTGCGGTGAGAATCTCTACCATAGATAGCTCAATAGTTACAGCAGTAGCTTCGCACACCCACCACCTCGTTTCGCACCGCTTGTCATCTTCTATTCGACAATGTCAGCATTTTAACACCTTTGTCTCCTGGGTATACACGACCTTCTTCCTTCTCCCTCTCTTCGCTGTACTCTCGTCTCGCACCTTGGGGACACCTCTGCTCTGCACGTCGCCCAGGGACACGTTCCACTTTCCTGCAGATCGATATTTTTGAAGCTGCGTCGGACCGTATGACCAGACTCAATATGGATAGACAACACGCGGATTCTGTACTTTGTACATAGGCACCTCTTGTTTTGCACTCTTCGTCGCCGAAACAACCATTGGTTATGGAGATTCACTCGGGGGCGCCTGCTTTACACTACAGAGCTACCGAAACTCTCCTCCTTTTCAATCTCGGTGTAGAAAGCTCTACGATGTCGAGTTTTGATGTTAATGCTGCCGGCTGTAATGACCACCTCTGTCCCTTGGGGCACGAGCGACTCCAACGATTGTTCAAACTCACCAAGTGTCACAACTCACATAAAGTTCGACCGAACGGTGTTTGTGTTCGGAAGCTCATCATTTTGGAGTGTTCAGCGCATGCCCTTTCTTCACCTAAGCGCTTGGAAGCAACGGATTGTGCTGTCCTTACATTGAATATACATCAAACTTTTGGATACAAGGAAGCATTTCCCTGCGGACGATTGACATCAATACTACCACCGTGGAGTACAACAAATCATGCCAAAAATTCGCCCTGTTCTCTTCATGCACCCGTTGCGTGTGCTACAACCCCACACATATCAGATTAGCTGCGTTTTGTTCGTGGGCGTTATTATCACCAGGGTTATTATCCTTGCTAAAGCTTAGGTGAGAAGGGGTCGGTCATGCCCATAGCTAAGATGCTTGGAAGCCCAAAGGTATGGGTAGGCCTTGTTGCACAACTCCGACGTACAGTCTAGACAATGTATTCCCCTTCGGAGCGTTTTGCCTGGTTCATGTCGAACAGCATCTTGAAGCCTTAGATAGTCTGATCAGTTTGCTATGCATATGAAAGCGGCGACACCATTCAGCAAAGAAACCGGCATGTGATTGTTATGCAGTATTATCCTCCCGTGTCATTGCTACTGCTGTAACAGGTACAGCCTGAACGAAGTCGAGAAAGCGCGTGGATCAGCACCCCGGAATCAATTCATATATGTGGTGCAACTGTATCTCATCGTTCCCAGGACTAGTTCAACTCAAGGGGAAATTCGCATCGAGGGGCAACGGCCAATTACTCGCAATCACTCTGCTCGTCCGCGGCCGGCCTCTATCGAATAACTCTGCTGAGATACTTACTTACCAGGCATCTGCGGCAGGCGGGAGTATGTACACCATAGCGTTGAAAAGGCTATGGACGCAAGTGTTCGTCATAGTTTCCATGGCTTCGACATGGATGACCGCAGCTGTCGCCCTTGAGGTCCCGCGTGCAGGCCGTAGCACACCAATAATACCCTTGTCTTACATGGTGAGCGAGCTGTTTGACAACATGAGTGAGCTGTGAATGAATGAGTGAATGAGTGGTGGGTGGGTGCGTACGTAAGTTGTCGGGAGAGTTAATACGTGGTTGGGAGACGATAATGAGTGAGTGGGTGAGTGAGTGTGTGGGTGGGAAGTTGAGTGAGTTGGTTCTTTAGTGAGTGAGTAGGTGAGAACGCGAGTGAGTTGACGCGAACCGTTGAAGAGTTATTGATCGTACGCGTGAGAGCGTGAGAGAGTGGGTGAGTTGGGAAGTATGTGAGTGAGTGAGTGAGTGAGTGAGCGAGAGCTGTTCAGCAGGGAAATGCAAGATTGCATCTCACACCCTAACAGAAGAAGAGGTTTGGAAGAAAAGCAGTCGTTCCGGTCACACTGGATGCTACCCGCCTTGCTTCACGATTTTTCTACCGTTGTGCGCCCATACTCCTGGTGTTTTCTATTTCTGAAACTTTTTTCAGATAATCGACGGCTGTGGATTGCTGAGCTTGCTTGTTCACTTTTCTGAACTAGGCGACGGGACGGAAAACCGGCTCGTTTCACAAGCAACCAAGGGCGCCCTGCTTGTTTCACAAGCACGAAATGGCTCCCTGCCAATGCCACGGGCGCTTGTTTCGAAATGTCGCCCAGAGGGAAACTCGCGGTCCAAGCCAACCAAAGCACCGCAAGAGTCAATCAACCCGAAAAACAACGTGGTGCCTGTGTGAGGGAGTTCGGTGGGTAGGATTAACGGTTGGGCTCTTCTTCTCTCTCCACGCTGACCGAACATTCTACGTGGCCTTTCAGATATACGGAAGGTCCGTGAGTGAGCGAGTATATGTGAGTGTTGACTGACGTTTCCCGCGTTTGGAAGAGGAGGAGTCGTTGAGGTTGTCGCGATGTCGAGCGCTGCTGGATGAGGGCACATGCGTGCGTGTCAGCATCAAGGGAAAACGTACTTGGAACACCAACATTTTCAACGCATGAATGTATCCTGGAGTGACCATTAGACTCGATTAACAATTTCATGGCTTTCAGCAGCGCAGCACCTAGCAAATGAACACCAATAAAGCATTAAACACGTCGATATACTTGTCTTCACGGTACTGCTGCGTGTGCCTCCCATGTTTTTCCCGAGTTGTCGAAGTTTTAGCATCGCCATCATCGAAAAGATGCACAACGTATTCCCCGATGAAGTTCACCAGGGGAGGAGGACGATAGGTGGCACTGGTTGGAATACGGGTGGGATTGAAGTTGTAATGATTTGCCTCCCCCCAGGCATCGGAGGGAGTGTGTCGGACCTCTGTGGGAGTAGCTGTTTTGGCCTGCGGGGTGTTCCAAGGTTCAGCCGCGGGTGGCCTCGCTCCACGCTAACGGGCGGGTGTGGATGTTGCTATTGGTACTTCCCCTCAGGAAGATATACGTGTGCGGAAACTCAACAGTCCCGGTCAAAGCAGGCACGGCGCGCGCAAATAGTGGGGCATCAGGCGTGCTGCGGTCGGTTTCGTGTGTTGTGGGACCAGTTGTTAGTTCCGTGGCGGAGTTGTGTGCTTCGTAGCTGCCGCCACAACGGATACATCCTGCGTGTCGGGTCTATTCGGCAGCACGAACACCGCACCGCATCCTACGCTCTACTGCTAAGAACAAGAAGCTCGACGCATCAGTCAGGCAGCTAGCGCACTGTACCGCGCACGACTGCATAGTGGCGTGTGTTCAGCACTTTGATAGGTTGTCGCGTCGGTTTTTCCTTGGTCTTATAACGTTGCATCATACGTCAACAGTAGGTCGCAGCCTTGCACGCTCGCGCCTCGGAGAATAGGCGCATCGCACACACTTTTTGGGTGTGGCAACGAACTATACGGAGGGCAGACCGTAGCGGACGTCGGGTTTCTCGCCTGATGATCAATGTCAAAAGTTGCTGTAGCCTTTCATTGCATGAAAAAAGCATACCAAGACGCCCGAACGACACGAAGAATGTGTAAACACCAGACGCCTCTATCAGGGGAGGTCTTGTGTAGGCGTTCCGCCTCACAACAAATACTTTTTTATCGTGCGTTTCAGTTGGAATCAAAAACACATCATGCGTGAAAGCAACTCACAAGAGTACTCGCGGTAGCCGTGAAGTCTTGCATGCCGTCATGCGGGGGCTTTGTGGAAGGGCAACACTGCCCCCCTCAACTCGCAAAATACCCACGATAGTCGACTTATGTGCGGTATTGAAGGGGCTTTGTGCATAACACCCCCTTTAAAAAAATACATTGCCTTGGCATTCTCGTACTCGACAAGCCTCTTGGTGAAGACTCCACCTCTACTCTCTCTCTCTCTCTCTGTCTCTCTCCCCCTCTCCCCCCTCTCTTTTCTCATGTACAACCAAGCTGCCTCGATGCGGTTTCTAGGCCCTCCCTCGCTTGTTTTTACAAGCAAGTTCTACGTAACCCATACACACGTACCAGATTTACAATACATACGGAGATGCCCGGCGTCTTCCATACGCCCCGAAGCCCGGTTCCGTCCCGCACACCTCGTTCTCGGAAGAGAAGATCATAACACCCCAGAATTGAGATTTTGAACATTCAACCCCGAGAGACAAAACCATGGCGGTTACGAATGCAAAGCTGCCCCGGTACGTATGTAGGGCGGGGGAGGGTACGCGGTTAAGGGTGCGGCGCGGGTTGGCCGTGCGCACCGCTGTGTTCACCGTGGGCACCGTGGCCATGGCCACCGCCATGGGCGTGAGCGTCCTAGTTTTGGGGGACGGGGGCGACGAAAAACAAAAACACGAGCAAGAGGGGTGGTGGGGGCTTGGCAAGAGAGATGGGCGCTGGGTGGAGGTCCCCGGAGGATACCACGCAAAGGTTGCAGAATGTCTGAAAAACCACCGCTGTGATTAGAGTAGAAGCGGTGCGCGGCGCGATGCCACGCATACTACGTAGCGCTGGTGAACTCACGCAACTCCTCTTGAGAGGAGAACGCTGCAGGTACATCACAGCACGGGCTTCGGAAAATCGCTCCTGTGGGCGAGAACGCAAACTCACGTGACCAGGTTTGTGCCCTTCCCCGTGCGCACCACCGTGGCCGTGCTGCTGCTCGTGCTGCTGCTTCTTGGCGAGCTTCTCTTCCCTCCTCTTCTTCTTGCGGGCGATCTTCTCCTGCCGCCTGCGAAAAAAAAAAATGGCCAAGAAAACATGGAAAAGATTGACATGTACACATAACAAAAAAAAAAAAAAACAGCAAAGATCGACGAGGTTGTTCTGGGCGGTCCGGATTTGCGGCGAGATTCTACGCTGCGGTGGGGTTGTTTTCGTCGTGACGTTTTCATCCCACAAGCCGCGCCAACGATCGTCAAAGGCAACAACGCTGGTCTGGTTGCTTGGTCTCAATACACCCAACAAACGAAGGGGGGTTGGGTTCACTGCTCGAAAAACAGTGAACGATAAGAGATTGAACAGCCGGAGATTGAACAACCGTTGTTTGGTATATTTTCCAAAAAATATACTGGGAAGATTAGACCAACAGGGAGCCGCATCTCTCTTGTCTTCTTCCTTCCTTGCCTCCGGAGCCTCGACAAAACAGCACGACGGTACATGGACCATTCTCAGTGGAAATTACATGGGAAAACGAAGCCTACTTCTTGGAAAAAGTTTGTGAGGGGGGGGGGGGGGGGGNTAAACACAGCGTGGTGCGATCATCCCCCTTGCGCGGAGTGACAGTTCTCGACCCCGCACAACATGATCTACTCGACCACCATTATTGNTGCTTACTTCCTTGCGTACGGATGACAGCTGCGTATGAATTAATATATTTTCTGGTGCTTTCACCTCCTGAGACAGTTGTAAGCACTGTGTAATTGCCTCGAGGGTGCTTGACCATATAAACACAGCGTGGTGCGATCATCCCCCTTGCGCGGAGTGACAGTTCTCGACCCCGCACAATATGATCTACTCGACCACCATTATGGTTACCGCCAAAAAAGAACTGAGGTAAAAAAAACAAACGGTAACCTGGCTGCCGAGTTCACCGAAGTGAATTGGCTTGTTTTACAACGTCGTCGCCAAGCGTCGAAATCCCAATCCCGATGGCAAACACCGAGGGGGGGAGGTGTTTTACAACGTCGTTGCCAAGCGCCGAAAACCCAACCCCGATGGCAAACACCGGGGGGG